AATGTCACTCACAATATAATGGAATCTAGTGTGGGTCTCTTCACACTTAGATGACAAGAATAAAAGAGGAGCCCTACAGGAGCAGGAACCTACAAGGAATTATTTTAGAAAGGACTATTAAGGGCCGGCCCGGTGGCGCACTGGAGAGTGCGCTGCTTGGGAGCGCAGCAGTGCTCCCGCCGAGGGTTCGGATCCCATGTGGAGACCAGTTCCCGCTCACTGGCTGAGCGCGGTGCGGGAGTAACACCGAGGGTTGCGATCCCGTTACCGGTCAGTAAAAAAGACAAAAAGGAAAAAAAAAAAAAAGAAAGGACTATTAAAGTAGGAATTTCAAGAATGCCTTTATAAGAGAAGCAGCCACAGCTAAGAACTACCCAAAGCTGCAAAAAGCTTTAGATAACAAACCAAATAGATACAAGTCTTCAGCATATGAACCAAAACAAAAAAGCATTTGCCTTCAAGAAAAGATTCAGGTGAATCACATATAAGCATCCTAGCCAGAGTCTGGGAAATAAAAATAACATTAGATGAAACTATGACTGAAATAAGTATTTACAAGAAACAGAGCAAATTTCGTATTTCTAGGTATATATATATATATATATTTTTTTTTTCCTTTTTTTGTCTATTTTTCGTGACCGGCAACGGATCGCAACCCTCAGTGTTGCGCCCGTACCGGACCGGGACCGGGACCGGCAACGGGATCGCAACCCTCGGTGTTGCCCCCGCACCTCGCTCAGCCAGTGAGCGGGAACCGGTCTGTATGTGGGATCCGAACCCTCGGCGGGAGCACTGCCGCGCTTCCCAAGCGGCGCACTGTAGCAGTGCGCCACCGGGCCGGTCCTAGGTATATATTTTTAACAAGTTGACTCTTAATTACTTTTACTATTATATTAAGCTGATTTAACATTTTGTTAGGGAACAATATACATACAAGTGTACACTGGTAAATTAATGGCCATGACTCAGATCTCCAAAAAAATAAGCCTTGAAGCACCTACTATTGGAGGCAGCATATCCTATTTCTAACAAAGTACCTAAGAGATTGAAAATAATAGCCCAAGTGATGAAAATGCAGCTTGGTTTCTTAAAATTACTCTACAAAATTGGGCCGGCCCGGTGGCGCACTGGATAGTGCGCCGCTTGGGAAGCGCAGCGGCGCTCCCGCCCGAGGGTTCGGA